TATAACTTTAATGTAACACAGTTGTGTTAATGATCACAACTGATTGGAAATAATGGGTGTCATCTTGAAAATTTTGCAGTGACCCTGTGGTCCCATCCCGTTTTGTTTGAGTAGAAGCACCTTGACTAAGGAATGTCCTTATTGATTTTGTGTTGACTTATCACAGCCCTTGAGAAGATACAAAGAATGTCCTTGCATGCCACGAGAAAAAGGCTTTTAAAAGATATTAGGCCAGATTCAAGCTTAGATTTTACTGATAATGGCATTAATTCAGCACATGAAATCAGTAGAGAAGCAATTTTAAAACAACAGTATACATTTCAATACCCAAGCATAATATCATAGAATTGGAAGGGGAATTGAGAATGAAACACAAAGATAAAGTAGCAAACTGGGTGTAGAAATTATACAGGCTTGCTTAGAGCTAGGCCAATATTAGGAATAGGTGGGAGATGTCTCCCCCTGGCTCCAGGAATCTCCATAAATAAATATTTATATGTTTATATGAAACTATCATATCCCCTCTTTTTTTTTTTTAAAGAGGATCTGAAGAAGCAAAATGCAGTATTGCAGGCAGCACATGATGATCTGGAGCAACTGCAAAAGCAGCTCATGGAAGCACAGGCTGAAATGGAGAACATCAAAGCCATTGCTACGGTGTCTGAAAATACTAAACAGGAGGCTATTGATGACATAAAGAAGCAATGGCAGGAAGATGTTGCCTCTCTGCAAGCTATAATGAAAGGTAGGACTAACAGAAATGAATGGATTGCTATACCAGTTTCATACTTACTAATATCTCTGATACATAGCTTGCTGTTCCAAACCACTATGTGCACAAACTCTGTGCTTCAAATAGCTCTCGTAGAAAGGAGAGTGCATTAAATTGATTTAGAAGAATTATTTGATATCTGAGGTCACATAGCTCTCGTAGAAAGGAGAGTGCATTAAATTGATTTAGAAGAATTATTTGATATCTGAGGTCATTGTTTGGCATCATCTGTGGTTTCTTTAATTTTGTGGCTTCACGTTTTATTTTTTATTGTTATTTAGGGATATCCTGCTTGTGTTAAAAGTTAGTTCAAACAGACTTCCAAAAATAAATAAACTAACCATAAAAATTATGATCCTTCTCCTGGTAATGGATTCTTTCTATTTTAAAAGTAGGATTTAAACTTAAAAAATAAATAAATAAATTTAACTCCTCCAGCCTGAAGCAATGTATATGAAAAACAAGCATATTACTAAGAAGGCTAGGCTAGAACAGTTCTTACTGACAAATTAATTTTTGATGTACAAAAGTGCGTGTGTATGTGTAGGGGCAGTTAGTTGTGACTCTTGACTTGTACTCTGTACAAGTTTTCCATTTCAGTATCAGGTGTGGGATTTAAAATATTTTTTAAAAAATGAAGAAGTGTCCATAACTGTATGTGGAGGATTATGGTATATTTGTAGCCATCTTGCATTTATTCTTAATATCCGAAGCATTCTCCAGAGTAGAAAATAGTTTACAGAGTGCCTTGATTTATCATTTCCACCTTTCAAACAATACGGTTTCAATCTCCAAGTGTAACTACAGCACCTACATCTTGTATATTTACTTGGAAAATATATTCCCAGCTTGATGTTTAAACACAAGCTGTACAAATTCAGCGAGGGTGCCGCTTCCTGTTTTGGAAGATTTGTTTCCAGTAAACTATCAGACCAACCCTGGACTGGCTGGATTGGTGCATTGTGTAAGAAAAAAAGACCTGATATTCCCTGTAATGGTCCATCCTGCATTTTGGATTTTGCATGCAGCTATTCAATAGCTCATGGACAAAGCCCATACTTTGCCATGCTGAAGGCTCCAGGTTTAGTTCCTGGCTTTTTCCTGCAGATTGTAGGGCTTGGGTAAGTAATGCTAGCCCATTGTCTTCCATGGATTCTACATGAGGCAACTTCATCATGAGTCCAATGATTTAGGAGTATATCAAATAATGTGCTTAAGAATCTCACTCTGAGGCTTCTGGGCTTCTTGTAATAAGATTGTCACCAAAGATGATTTGGGGGAACAATTTGTTGTTGTTGTTATTGTTATTCAGAAACTGTCCATGAATATGAAGGCCAGTTTCATCACAGGCTGGAACAAGAGCGATCTCAGTGGAATCAATATCGAGAGAATGTTGAACGGGAAATAGCAGAGCTGAGGAGGCGACTTTCAGAAGGTCAAGAAGAGGAAAACTTGGAGAATGAAATGAAGAAGGTTAGTCTATATAGAGCATCAGAATGTACAGCACTGTCTGTTTTATTAGAACCTGATGGCTTGCTCTTTGTTTTCTGGAGATTGGGATTTAATAGATGTAAACATTTGTGTATGCTCTGCATCCATCACAGCTGCAGTACATAACTTAATAAGTGTATCCACACTAACCTTTGTTTCTTTATAACTTATATGAACTAACTTATGTGACTTCAACTTGAGGGTGGGGTCTGAAGTAGCTCAGGAGTTTATGGTCACCATGAGAGCCATGGGCCTGTCCCAGGTCATCCAGGGCCCAATGCATAATAGTGGTCTCCTGACCTGGTTTTTCTGTCAAAGCAATGGCATGGTGTTCTGGATTTGGAGATATTGGTCTTGGTCCCCTGTCATGGTCATATCACTCCCTGGTGAGCCTCCAGTTCTCTGGTGTCTCCCCCCATTGCAGGGAGGCTGGACCCAGTTCGCCCCAGGCAACTAATTGACTCGGCTGAGTTCCAGAGGGTGCTTGGGGTTCTTTCAGAAGGTCTGCTGTAAGGTATGACTGCAGCCCTGGTGGCCTCCTGGAATGAGAGGGCGGCTGGGGTTTTGAATCAGATTGCACCTGAACGGCCTCTCCAGGCCCATAGATCCCCAAACTCCTCATGGTTTATGGAAGAGTTGAGAGAGATGAAGTGAGTGGAGATGCCTAGAGCACTGCTGGCAGACAAGGAATGAACCCAACTAAATACAGGCTAGATCCACTGTTAGAGCCTACCTCGTGGCAGTAAGGGCGGCAAAACATAATTATTTCTCCACCCTATTGCATCCTCAGATAGTTGCCCAGTAGCTCTGTTTCGGGTAATCCAGTCCTTCCTTGGAGGGAGTAACTCTGAGGTTCACCTACAGGGCACTGTGAGGAGTATGCTAGGCATCTGATGGATAAAGTCACTTGGAATCACTTTGCACCAAACATTGGCCTTGAAGAAGGGTCAGTGGAGGCTATGGGGGCTAAGTCTTGCATGGTTATCTGGGAAGAGTTTGATCCCGTTCAGCCCGAGGAAATAGACAGGGTTCTTGTAGCTGTTGGTTCGACCACCTTTGTATTTGATCCATGACCCACCTGGCTGGTGAAGGCTGCCTGGGAGGGGACATATGATTGGGTTTAGGTGGTTGTTAATTCTTCCTTGAGGATGGTGGTGGTTCCACTGGCTCTCAAGGAGGCATTGGTGTGCCCCCTTCTCAAAGGGCCATTGCTTGACCTAACCAGTCTGGACAGTTTTTGTCCAGTTTCCAACCTTCCCTATTTAGGGAAGGTTGTGGAGAAGGTAGTCACACTGCAGCTTCAAAGGACTCTGGATGAAATGGATTATCTGGACCCCTTTCAGTTGGGATTCAGGCCAAGTATAGGACAGAGATGGTATTGATCACACTCTTGGATGAACTCTGGCAGGAGCAGGATGGAGGTAGTGCATCCATCCTGGCTCTTCTTGACCTCTCAGCAGTTTTCGATACCATTGATCATGGTATCCTTCTGGAGCAGCTCTGGGAGTTGGGGGTGGGTGGCACTGTGTTGTGTTAGTTTTCCTCCTTCCTCTGGGGCCAATTCCAGTCAATGTTGATAGGAGGGGAGAAGTCCAGTCTGCAGCGCCTACTTTGTGGAGTGCCGCAGAGTTTGGTCCTTTCTCCCCTTCTGTTTAACGTTTACTTAAGGCCACTGGGTGAGGTCATCCAACAATTTGGGGTGAGGGTGATCACGAGTATCTTCACCCCAGACATCTGAGTGATGCCATGGACATCCTGTCCCAGTGTCTGGAGGCTATGGGGACCTGGATGGGGTACAACAGTCTTCATCTCAACCCAAGCAAGAGTGAGTGGCTTTGGGTGTTTGGACCTTCTGGTTCCATGGACTTTTCATCGTTGGTCTTGAATGAGATGGCATTGCCTCAGACAGATCTGGTATGTAATCTGGGGATCCTCCTAGGAACTCACAGCTCCTGCTCAAAGAGCAGGTGACATTTGGGGCTAGGAAGGCCTTTGCATGCCTTCAGGCTGTGCATCAGTTGCACCCTTTCTTGGACCGGGAAGCCCCACTCGCTGTCACTTATGCAGTGCACTCTATGTGGGGCTGTCCTTGAAGAGCATTTGGAAACTTCAACTGGTGCAGAAAGCAGCAGCATGGGTTGTAAGTGGTGCCCATTATTTGACGCATGTACCACCACTACTCTGTGAGCTGCATTGGTTACCAGTGTGATTTTGGGTGCAATTCAAGGTGCCAGTTGTCACCTTTAGAGCCCTTCATGGCTTAGGACCTGGTTACTGCCCAGTTGTTTCTACTCATCCTGATCCAGTCAGGCAGGATGGGCATGCTTTGGGTCCTGTTGGCTAAGGAGGGCCGGTTGGCAGGGCCTAGAAGATGTGCCTTTTCCCATGTAACACCCGCCCTCTGGAACATTCTCCCTCTGGAGATCAGGATGGCCTTGACCCTGCTGGCCTTTAGTAAGGCCCTAAAGACCTGGCTCTGTGCCCGGGCTTGGGGCCTCAGATGTTCCAGAAACCCATTTCTTGGTTGTATTAATGATTATGGGATATATTTTCTCAGCTGCTATGTATTTTCATTTTTGTATTATTGCAATTGTTTTTACTTTATTTTAATTTTGTTCCCTGCCCAGAGTCACTTGTTGAGATGGGCGGCTATACAAACTGGATGGGTGGGTGGGTGGATGAAGATATGAATGTGATTCTTAATTTTATTCCAAAATTTGGAATGTTTCATTATATGAAGAATTATGAATTTATTGACATAGTAAAAGATTATTCTTTTACAATGGAAGTATGGGGCTTGCCCTGATTTTATAGTTTTTGATTAATGATATATATTCACTGTCTGCTTATGGACTGGCTCTCTATTGACATGATTGAAGGACTGATAAATATTGCTGTTTGTGGTCAAGGTTTAATGCTATGTTTAAAAACAGCTGTTTAATGTTTTTGTTCTTTTTTGTCTTTTTTTCTTTTTTGTATCATTTTACCCTTTATTTCTATCCTACCCTAATTGCTTTATTTCTCTATAGTAAAGCAAATACATAAATATTTAAAGAATGATGACACACATGCACAGAATCTGAAAACTAGTGTAAACTTGTTTTTGAAACCCGCGGTGTATAAACCATAATTCTAATTTTACATACAAAGCGTGTTTATGCTAAAACATGTTTAGTTTTTGGATGGGGCAAGATGTTTTGTGCTTAGCTTGTTATTTAGGCTAAAAATAATAGTATTGGTTGAGGCTTTTAGGAAGCAGTTTCCTAGAATACATAATCTATTTAGATGGCAATAAAATGTTTGGTTTTTCTTCTGTACGCACATGCGTATTTTGCAGTTGTACAGTTTTGGCTTCTGCATGTAGTTATATGTCTGCATGTAGTCATATATTTTGGCAAATAGTGGCTGAATCAGAAGACTGTTGATTATCCGTGTAAAGTTAACTGTTAAGGGATTATTAATTTCTGTATGGTGGTTTTAATGTTACCAGCTTAATAAGGGGATATTAGCTTGAGAATGGGATTTTTAAGTATGCTTTAGTAGAGTAGTAGAAATTTGGTATTCTATCCAGATTCTGACATAAGAGCAACAGCATGCCTGAAATCCCTGTACTCATAAATTTGTTGGATTATTTTGAAAAAAAAAAATGCAGAATTGCGATGAATTTTTAATTCTCCTTGCATCTTCATAGTGATGTGAAATTTTGCCAGTGATGAAGTGTATTTAATATTTTTCCCTAGGCAAGGCTGATGGTCAATATATATTATGCGTATCTTTAGATAAATTGTTTACTGGGCATCCTGAATTAGCAAATTCAGTACTTAGTCTGGGTCAAAACTTGAAAAAGTTTTCCTAACTTTCTAGACCAAGAAACAAAGAATCTATTCACATTCCTGCACATCTGTTGCATCACATGCTGGTATTGGGCTGGGTACTGTGATGGAATGGAATTATGAAGGCCAGGCTCAGGGAGATAAACATTTTCTTAGCTCCCCA